ATTCCGTCCAGTCGATTAAGCTTGATATAATAAAAACATTATATTCTATATCTTCAAAGTTGATGATAATTAAATATAAACATGCTATAATTTATTTCCGGCTTGTGTAATGTGTCGTTATAACATTTTACACATTTATGCTCGAATTTTAAACAAGATATTAATATAATACAACAATTAAAATAAAATGTCTTCGCAAAGATATTTCAAAACTAGATCCTATATACATAAATACATATAGACTACTTATAAAGTATTTAGTACATTGATTGAATAGTACTTTGTTTTAAATTCTATTATACAAGGGAACGGATAGGGAAAACTGTATTCAAGTAGGCCTATTTTATTTTATCCACCTATTTGGTGAAAGCAACAGCTGCAATTTTAAACTACGGTTACACAGTTATTCCTATATAATACTCTTAATGACTCATTTGTATTATCAATAACATAAACCAGATAAACTCTGATCTCTAAAACAATATTCAGATTTTCCTTTCTTACAAAAAATAAAAATACTTTTCCCAGGCCTTCTACTTATGTTAAATTAAAATTGAGACCGGACGGATGGCTGAGACGATTAATACGTCAGCCTACGCTTGGGACCCTGAATTGAGTCCAGGCGAGCAACCCTACCAATTTTTTTATGAGTGGACCGTCGCCGGCCTCCCCATTGTGGTCCTGGCCGAACCCACGATGACTATGGAATAAAAGGTCCTATTAGTGCCCACAGGGTGGATAAAGTAAAAAAATAATAGAAAAAAAGTAAAATAATACTTTTCACAATTTGTATGAATTATCGTATATAATTTAATATATAAGTTTCAAAATCAATCTACATCTTTCTGCTCCTACGTATTAATTAATATGACTAACAGAGATGAATTCATTTCCTGTTTAAATTTATCTACTAACATTTGATGATTCTGATAATGTAAAGGTTTTGCAATAATTATTCATATTGTTCTAATATAAAATTCATCATTAATCAACTTTCTGTAAACTTATCCGAAAATAAAGTTTTAAAATATAATTTAAAAACTAAATTAGACTTACGATACTCAGATAAATATTTATTATCAAAGTTAATCAGGTTTAAACTGAACTTTAAGGAAGAAGACAGCCGAAGATATAATCAAAAACATTTTTTTTTTCAGAAAATTTGTATTACATCCAGTCAAATCTTTAATAAAAATCTCATTTTTTCGGCGAATAACACGTCTGAAATACTATTTTGTTATCAAAATATGTTTTTATCACCAAAAATTCTGAATAAAATTATATAAAAAGCCAATTTTCCTGACAACCTTCTTTATATTAATGTTCTGTAATAGCTTACCCATTCATCTTTTCCTATCTGAATTATCATATTAAAGCAGCTTAATAGATCTACGAAATATATTTAATATACTAAACAGCGAATCAAAATGAATATTTAGATTCTTTACTATCAGACTCCAAATCGGATAACTCGAATACTCACGATTGACTTCAACAGGGTGAATAATTATAGGCTAGACAACGTTCCTTTTTCTACAGAATAATGACTCGATTGTCTACGATTAATAAATGAATTCTCTTCTGACAGTTTCAGACTATCATATAAACGCTTTCTATCTTAATTACTATTTTCAAAATGTCCATCTCTTCTTGTGCTTTGTTGAATGTTTATTAATTTTAAACTATCTGCTAAATAAGATATAATAAACATATTTNTATTCCGTATCTTTATTATGTTTAAGTTTACTGTAATTCAATACTAAAAACTAAGATAACGTATTATCATTAAGCGGCCCCCCTGGTGAAATACCTTACAAACTTAACTGAAAGTATATAAATTAAAAATGTATTTAGTTTTGCAAGATATTTTGAATAATCTATAAAAGTAAATAGAAAGACAAGTATAAGCTGCTATTTCGTGTAAGAAATTTATATAAATCATACGAAGGATCTGGAAGAAATTTGAATATATGCAAGGTGAAAAAGATCTGATAAAAATTCGATTTACAGATCAGCAAGGAAAGAATATCTAAGGTTTTATGTAAAGGAAACTCGTAGGAATGAACCTTGACTTCGACTTAAAAAGTAATTCGAGATGAGAAACTTTTGCTGTTTTCGATATATAATTCATAAGAACATGTATTATTATTCGATAATTTATAGATTATCATTAAATTTTTTATATAAAAGTATACCAACTTCACTAACATAAAATATTTATTATCGAATTCATTTAAAATCATAAAAAAAATAAAAAAAAAAAGTATGTGAACTTCCCTTCGAACTATTAATTTTTATATAAATTTAATTTAATTTTAAAATATTAAATTACATCACTTCTTAATAATTTATTACATAGTTTGATAGTATATTATACTTTATAATCCTTTGTACCATAATGGTTTGGAATAAATAAATAAATTATACATTTTAAAGTACAGTAAAATAATTAGAAATAATAATAAAGCCGTAATCTAAGTTTATTGTGTAAGTTTATTAGTTTATAATAATCTCTATCTATTAAAATTGCCGGAATCGTTACATCTCTGTAACATTACGTAACCGAATCCTTAGAATATTTCATCTATAAAGATATGCCAAAGTAAATATAAACTTAAACGGCAATAATATTCATCGGCCATCCATAAAAATAATTAATTCCATTTTTCCGAACAATAAGCGTGTGATATTGATACAGAAATCTCAATTTTGTGCCCTAATTTTATAGTATAATAAATAAAGTTAAAGTGAAATTTCTTAATGATAAATATGATACGGGCACGGTTCAAAATCACGATTTGGATATTTGTAATTAATTCTAAAACGAAAGTATCCAGTTTTTAGAAGACAAACAATACATTCTGTTAAGATCTAATTTCAGGACCTCAATCAAATCGAGTATTGTGTTGCACTTGAATATCGAACTGATTTACGGGGTAGTGGCCATTTCTTTTAATGGCTAACTTTATTATTCATTTATGCGATTAAGTCTGTGACGGAGTATTAGGTTCGACAATAACATTACGCAATGGAAATAGCACAAATAACTCTGTTTTTATACACGTTCACAATATCCATTGTAAAATATTTTCCTCTTAAAACTAGCAACACTTTAAAAAATATTCTCTTAAATATTTCAATACTATAAAACTGCGTTATATATATATATAGGCTATATTTGAATTCCGTTAAATATTTCATTCTATTTTTTAATATAATATACAAACATGATAGACAATAATTTTATAATCATAGAAAAGGTTTCTTCTTTTATGATTATAAAAACATTTGTAATATGTTAAGAAAAAGATATTACAAGATATTTTTATCGATACGCAAGAAAATTTTTTAAGAATTTATGATTTATTCTTCGGCCTCAAATTTATTCGACACCTTTCAGATTTCATTAATGATCTTATATTTTTAACGTTTTTTGCTTTATTGCGTTTAAGTATGTCTCTATATCTGAGCCGTCGAGGGATGAGTATGGATATAAATTACCTGAGATGACGAGACCCAGAGGGCACGTGAAAAATAATTAATTATCATAGTCTTTATAAATATACCAGATTTTCATGATTTTGACAAATTTTAAAGACTATAAATCTTATTTTTATTACCTAAATATAAGAAAATTATTTTTACAGTGTATAAGGGGTCTGGCAAAATGATGAACCAAGCCTTCTTTCGGTAGTTCTTATATATGTATATATATATATACATTCTTAATAATATAAATCATATAGATTATAGTCTTTTATAAATCATAGATTCACAATTTTAAATGTCTTTGGACTAGAAAAAAAACAAGTTTAAAGCTATATAAAATCATATTATTCCATAAGCACATGAAGCTATATTGCTATATTTATTAATATGTACTGTATAAAACTTACTTTTTTATTCCATTCCGAGCACATTATCATGTGTATAAAACAAAATACGAAATAAGTAAATTTCCAATACCTGAAAGAAAAAAAAATAGATCTAAACTAAAAAACAAACGTTTATAACTGTATTAGCATTTATAAACAAAACTAAAATAGAATTACCTCGTCATTTTATTCGTGTGAATCGGATCAACAGCCTATTGCTTAATTAATATTATAGACTGTTGTATATGTTAGAATATTTTATATCAACATTTCCAAAAGTTGGTCGATTGGAGTTTTCTACAATACAGTAATGTTTACATTGATGTAGTACGTGTTCGAAGATTAGATTTAATTTCTCAGAAGATAAATATATAAATTTATTCATTGCATTATTCTTAAATCCTAAGTCATTATCTCGACTGGATGAAGATATCTGTCATTACTTGATAAATGTCTTCAGCTATATATTACAATTTAAGAACAGTTTCTAAGACAAATAAACGATTTCGTAGAATATATACATATTTTTTTAAATAAATGATAAATTGACATTAAGAAATTTTTAAGATAACAAATCTAATTAACGAAATTTATAATTTTTAAATCATATTTAAGTAATTAAATGATTTTAATTGCTAAATATCGCATTTCTTCACTCGTCTGACAATAATATCTACAACGTTAACCCGAACAAATCATAGCAGACGTTTAGGTCATTACTTCTGAACTTGTAATAGAGAATTCCAACGGTGGATTGATTTATTATAAATTCTGTGACAATGAATAAACGCTTATATCAAGCAAATTTCCTCATTACAACAAATATCATATTTTCTAATTATTAAAATTATTTTATTATGAAAAATTCGAATTATAATTAACATATTTAACATCAAAAATTCATATTTGTTTAATATTTTATATTTATTTAAATATATAAATAAAATTATTGCACGAGTATAATTTCATTTATTGATAATTAATATTTCTGAATAAAATATGTACTTACCATAAGCTTTTCTTATACAAATCATTTTTGGTTATCATCTCGCCTTTGACGTTTCTAATTATTTTTCCAATCTATTCAATATATTTTCCACATACTACAATCAAAAAGAAAATATCTTTAATAACTTTATGTTTAATAATTAATTAAAAAGTCTAATTTAACAATTTATTATTTAATGCATAAGAAAATTACATTGCACTTTATAAAATATTATGAAACTTTTATATAGAGTTTAATTTCGGATAAAGTTTATTTTATTTGAAATATTTGAAAGCTTAATGGAAGTTTAAGATTAAAAATACTTAAAAAATTAAATTTTCAAAGTGATTTATATCACAATTTTTGCTTTTATTTAAAAATTAATAATAAAAAGAAAGGAATTAAAACATCTCCTTTCTTAAGAAAAATTTAATATAATATTTCTCTCAGATTACTCAAATTTATTAAATATTGTTGGCTGAAAGGTCAATAAACTAGAGTCAAATTTTTGTTTATTTTAGCATCAAAACTTATTAAGAATAGATCCTAAACGCCTTCAAAAGCTGAATTTTCGACTAATAAATACGCGAATACACCTATTTAAAATGATTTAATTATGTTTTTATTAGGAAATTATTTCAAAAAAATTATTTAGATATTTTATAATATACAATTCATTTTTATTTTACAAACAAAAATATTTCAATAATAAGCAATAACCCGCATAATGATGTTATATATAAATTTTACTACTTAAATCTGAATTAAATCAGTTATATTAAAAGTTACTAACTTCATACAGTATTTACATAAAGGATAATTTCATTCTAAAACTTAAAAGGGAGAATGATTTATAAAATTTAACCTTCACATATTTTAGATGAAATAAATAACAATTTAATATATAATATGCATCAATTACTTATCGTTTAAGTGAAATTATTGCTATTTTCTAATTCATTAAAATTCTTCTGATTAAAATAACTTAAGTATGTGACTTCATAAGGTGTGATAATATTAGTTTTAATTATAGAACGGCTAAAGAGCTGTAGTTATATCATTCTTGATGATATAACAGCAGTTTTCTAGTAGCTAGCATCCTGGTGCGGGGGAGGAAGTCTCTCGTCACAATCAGCCACCCGGATTATATGCGCTTTTATAAATCATGAGGCTAACACACTTTAAAACTCGCAAGTAACTTTACATAGTAATAACATAAAAATATTTGATCATTATTCTGTTTTATTGAATAGATGCTAGAAAAATTATCTAGTTTGACTACTTTTTTATACACAATTAAAGTAAATAAGCAAGTTAAAATTTACTGAAAAAATCTGCGATTATTTTAAATAACATGTAACTTAAAAATATATATAATTTATCAACATATTTTTATCAATGATAATAATTTAAATTATATGAATAAGAAGCAAATTATATAAATTAATCCCCTCGTTTTATCGAAAGCATTTATAAAAAATATTTTAAATGTTTTCTATTAAAGCAAAAACTTAGAGATAAATTTTAAAATCTTTTCTCTAAAATTTTATAAATTTAAGTCCAGAAAATCTAGAATTTGTGATTACTTTTTGACAATATTAAATTACCTATAACTAAAAATAAAAAACAGAATATTCTAAGTTTAGTAAAAATACTATATAATGCGATATAAGTAACAATGTAAATATAAGTATTACATCCAGATGTTTAAATAAATTCAAGGCCATACGCCAATGTCTTTCGCTGTATGAATGAATATATACATTGTACTTCTCATTTTCTCCATTTTTATGAAGAAAAATTAAATCTAATTAGTATAATTT